GCGGGCCTGAGGGGCGCGGGCGGGTCCCGCTGGACCGGGAAAATCCCGGCCCCTTCCAACAATTCCAGGGCTCCGGGACAGCCAACGCTGCTCTGGGCACCCTGTGCCACCCTGCCAGGGAACAATTCCTGCCCAATATCCATCCATCCCTGCCCTCTGGCAGTGGGAAGCCATTCCCTGTGTCCTGCCCCTCCATCCCTTGTCCCCAGTCCCTCTCCAGCTCTCCTGGAGCCCCTTTAGGCCCTGGAAGGGGCTCTGAGGTGTCCCTGGAGCTTCTCCTCTCCAGGTGAGCACCCCCAGCTCTCCCAGCCTGGCTCCAGCCCTTGGAGCAGCTCCGTGGCCTCCTCTGGACTGGCTCCAGCAGCTCCAGGTCCCTCCTGTGCTGGACCCTGGAGCTGGGCACAGCATTCCCACTGGGATGGAGAGAGAATTCCCACCCCTGTCCTGCTGTCCCTGACCATGGCAGGAGGAGGAATGAGGTGACCTTTAAGGTCGCTTCCAGCCCAAGCCATCCCATGACTGTGACTGTGGGAAGAGTGCGGTGCTGGTGCTCACCAGAGCAGGGTGATGATGGAGATCCCGGGGAAATCATGGCACCAGGAATTGCTGGATCAAGGTTTTGGGGAAACACAGTGTCCCTGCCCCCAGAATGCCAGTGGGATGAGAGGGGCCCCTTTGAGTGCAGAGACACTTGGAGAGGAGAGCTGGGATCCTCCCAGTGTGACAGGAGCAGCAAACTCCAGAGGTGGCTGCCACAACAAAACACCTTTATCCCTGTCCCTGCTGCTTCCCAGTGCCTCTGGAAAACCCCTGGAGCCTCCTTTAGCGAAGGGGTTTAGAGGGGAGAATTCACCCAGGCTGCTGGGACGATGCTCCGGTGCTGCTCTGATCCCAGAAGGAAAAGCAGGAGGGAGTGAGAGGCACCGGCTTGGAAAACGCAGGTGGAGTGAGAATGGGAAGCAATGCACTGGGAAGTAGAGGTGCAGGGCAGGCAAAAATATCCCTGGAAAAATGCCATTGGTGACAAGGGAAGTGAAAACATCAAGAGCTCCAGGATGGATCCTAGGAAAACCCAAAAATCTGCTGGAGGGCAGCTGCTTTCCTGGTTTTTTTCCCCTCTTTTTTCCCCCTGCAGCCCCATAAAGGAAAGCGGGAGCTGAGGTCAGCAGCCTCAGCCATCCCTCTGGCGCGTGACAGCGGTGACAGATGGCCCTTCCCTTCGGAGCCTCCAGGTCCTTCCCAGGCACCTGGGAACAGCCCAGAGCTGGGATTTTCCTGCACATCCTGGATCCGGAGCTGCTGCTCTCCCCCTGGATCTGCCTTCACCTGGGGCAGCCTCTTGTCCTCCTAAATGGATTTTTCCAGGCATTTTCCCCCTCATGAATACATCCCGAGTTCTGGAGCAGGGAAAATCTTTGGGGTGTTGTTTAAAATAGGGTTAAACTGATGGGTGCATCCCCCTGGGATGGCTCTGATTTCCCTCGTGGGTGGAGATGAGGGGGCAGAGGTGATGGGACAGAGATGATGGTGATGGAGATGGTGACAGGGTTGATGGGACAGTGGTGATGACAGAGGTGATGGTGACAGGGTTGATGGGACAGTGGTGATGACAGAGGTGATGGTGACAGTGTTGATGGGACAGGGATGATGACAGAGGTGATGGTGACAGGGTTGATGGGACAGAGATGATGGTGATGGAGATGGTGACAGGGTTGATGGGACAGGGATGATAGGACAGAGGTGATGGTGACAGGGATGATAGGACAGAGGTGATAGGATGGAGGTGATGGGACAGAGATGCTCTTCCACAGAGGATTAAACTTGAGAGCTGAAATCCTAGGGATCCTCTCACCCCATGTGGAGCTGAAGAAGTCCTTGGCCATATTAATAACCAAGAAATCCCAATGCCAATATCCAAAGGCTCACCCCGAGCTGCAGCAATGAACTCTTGTGGGGTGGTTTTGGGGGAATTTGGTGGGAAACCCCTGGTGCAGTGCAGTGGTGTTGGTTTCCCAGGGTGGAGTGACCGTGCCAGGGCGTTCCCTCTCCCTTCCCAGCAGGATGTTGTCCCTGGAAGAGCACCTTTGTTACTGAGGGAACATTAACCCAGCTTGGAGACTCTGAGTTGCCCCAAACTCTTTTCTCATGGAGAAAACCAACAGAAGTCAATTAAGTATTTACCAGATATTTTTATATGGACTGATTGTGCCATTCCCACTGTCTGGAATGTTCATCCACCTCTTGGACCGTGGCCAGCTCCAAGCACAGGCTGCTGTAGGGTTTTATGGGAAGCATGAGGTTTGGTGAACACCCCAAATCCCTGCAGCTCTGCTGCTGCTGCCTTTTGGGATGGGTGCTTTTATCCCACTGGAGTTTTCCTGAGATTTATTTTATATTTCCCTTCTCTTTATTGATGCTGGGAAGTTCTTGACATCATTCCCCACCCCAGGGATCCCTCTGAGCTCCCCTCACAGCCAGCCCTGGGGACAGGGCAGAAAAGGGACATCCCAGCTTGGGGATGAACCTGGAAATTAAAAATCCTGATTAAAAACCAAAAAACAAAAAGGCAAAAATCAGCAGATTTCCAGCTTTTTTAGGAAAAAAAGAGGGAGTTGACTCCCCAAGAGGGAGTCAACCACTGCGAGCACGGATAAAGCCTTTGGGAATTTGGCTTGTGCTCTCCCAGAGCTGAGAGGGACTGAGATGGGGAAGGCAGCCGGGAATGAAGTCACATATCCAGGGGCAGGGAGGTCACGGCTGTGAGGACGCTGTGCCTGGAGCAGGTGAAGGGTCTGGGAGCATCATCCTGCCTCCATCTCTCCGGAATAATTCCCCGAGTGGGCTTGGACCCCATTGCCTCAGACAAGGAATCCCCATTGCCCCACATCCCCCACTGTCCCACATCCCCCCACATCCCCCACATTGTCCCACATCCCCCCCATTCCCCCACAT